GGTGCTTGAACTTCGCGCGCGTGAGTGCAGGGCAGTCACCGATGACGTGATCTGCCGTCTCCTCCTCCTCCTCCTCCTCCATATACCAGCGGCATTCCGGGTCGTCCGTAATGCCCATACTGTGGAGATGGCGTCTTAGGTGCCAGTGTCCGGTTAGGAGACCAGTCACTAGCCGTATATCGCATCTGTTCAGGCGCAGTAGTTGTTTGGTGAGACAGGCAGAGGATCAATATGAGCCTTAGCCTGCCTCATGCCAGGTGCCTCCATCCATCTCCCAAGGAATCGCTCCGCGAGGAGACTCTTGAGAGACGTGACAGTCTCACATTTAGTTATGCCCAGCGTGGGCTCAGGGCCCACAGGTGGCATCGACGATACCTGTCTGGCAAGTAAATCAGCTTCGTCGTTGCCCGCGACGCCCGGGTGACCGGGCACCCAGACGAGGCGGACCCGGCAGCCGGCACTCACCAGTTTTCCCAGGACTTTTTTGCTCTCCATTACAAGCTTAGAGCGCACAGTGTCAGCCATAATGGCTTTGATGGCGGCCCTGCTGTCGGAGCAGATCGAAAAGACTGCATTCCTGTGGCGCCGGTTTAAAATTTCCCGACCACACTCCATTACAGCGAAAATTTCAGCCTGGAAGACAGTAGCGTGTTCCCCTAAAGAAAAGAATTTACTAATTTTAGGGGACCCTCCGCAAAAACCTGCCCCTGACCTGTTATCCAATCTGGAGCCATCCGTGTACCAGATAGCTCCACTATTCAGTACAGTTGGCTTGGCCATTCACTTCTTTCAATGATATGGGCCTCCAAGCCTTTGCTATGAATAAGCTCCGGTCGCATGATATCGCTGCCCATCAGAAGGACAGGACATTTCTCTGCGGTTTGAAACCAAATTCTCGCGTGTCCGGTTTCCCGGTGCGCATTTCGTCAAGGACGTGCAATCTAAAGGCTGTCCTCATGGCCTCGAATTGAATCACGAGAAAAAGAGGCGGGAGACCTAGAAGAGTCTCCAGGACCCTTGTTGGGGCCGTACGCATGGACCCCGTTATGCTGAGGCAGGAAAGGCGCTGGACTCTGTCCAGTTGCGCCCGTATTTTGGCTTTCTCCGTGCAAGACTACCAAACGATAGCCCCGTACGTGAGAAGAGGTTTAACTATAGAGTTATAAATCCAGTAAAGGATCTTCGGTGAGAGACCCCAGGTACAACCAAAGGGCCGTCTACATGTCCAAAAAGCACAGGTAGCCTTTTTCATCCTGTTCTCTGCGTGTTCATACCAGGACGGTTTAGAATCCAGCATCACGTCTAGATACTTAACCACCCTAGAGTATTTAAGAGTCACACCTCCTAGAGAAATGTTGGGCGTTGTGCCAAAGTTGCGTCTCCTGGAGAAGAGTATGAGCTCCGCCTTATTAGGGTATATCCTGAGTCCTTCCGCAAGGCACCACCGGTCCACTATGCGCAGAGCTCTTGCCATAAGGCGCTGCACTGAGACGGCGTCCTTACCCGGTCGTCGGCATAGGCCTGAGTATACAAGCCTGCCTTGTTTAGATTAGTAATCAGGCCGTCAACCACTAGGCACCATAGAATCGGGGATAGAACTCCGCCCTGGACAGCCTCTGGCGGCCACCGCTCTAACCATCGCATTATTAAGCTCTGCGGACACTCGGCGTTGCGAGAGCATGGCCTCTATCCATCTCACCAGACATGGCTCTAAGCCACGCCTTTCGAGCGCTCCGCAGATGATGTTGAAAGGGGTATTATCAAATTCCCCTTCAATGTCATGGAATGCCGCCAGACTGGCCCTTCCACATACCAGATTTTCTTTCACCTTCCTGACCAGGTGGTGTAAGGCCAGTTCTGTGGATTTGCCAGTCTGATAGGCGTATTGTTGGATGTGTAAAGGTCTGGAAACCAGTATGCCTTCCTTCACATACCGGTCCAGTAGCCTCTCCAAAGTCTTGAGCAGGAAACTAGTGAGGCTAATGGGTCGATACGATTTTGGTTCAAAGTAGTCGCTCCGTCCGGTTTTTGGAATGAAGACGACATTCACCTCTCTCCACTGCTCTGGAATGTATCCATGAGCGAGGCAAGATCTGAAGATCTGTACCAGGTGGACAGTGATGATATCCGACGCGTTTTGCAGCTGGCAAGGGTGGATTCCATCCTTACCACGGGATTTAAAGGGGGGAAAGGACTTAATCGCCCATATCACCCTCTCATAACTTACTACTTTTTTGGCGGTGTCGTGCCCGGTGCTAATAGGGGCCTGAACGCCGGCCAAGACAGCGTTGTTTGGGCTGGAGCCCAGGAAGTGCGTGCGGAGCATGACTTCCAGGGTTTCCTGTTCGTTCGTCGTGAAGCCACCGCTCGGAAGAAACAGTGACCCTATTCTACTACCGGGTTCCTTTGACAGAGCCTTGCAGAGGTGAGCTGCTGGGGATATTTTTTCAATATCCCCGCAGTACTGCCTCCAGCTCTGTCTTTTTGAATCCCTGAGCGCCTTTTTGTACTGCCTTTGGGCTGCGTGAAACGCTTCCCAGTTGGCGATAAGTTTGGAGCGTTCAGCTCTTCTCAAGAGCCGGCACGTGATATTCCGATGGAGTGTGGTTCCACCAGACAATTTTTGCATTTTGGGGTTTCCGTCTTAGTGGACAGCTACCTTCGTATGCCAGGAGAGGTGCGCTGGAAAGTTTGTTTATCCCAATCTCAATGTCGGCTGGAAGGTTATACCTTTGCCGGCATATCCGAGAGCCCACCTGTGAGCTCCTCCCGAAAGAGGTCCCATTTGGTGTGCCTCGGATTTCTAAAGACTGGGTTGTCGCAGCTGGTGTCTTTATTCAGCTCGAAGAGAATGTGCCTGTGGTTCGACATTGAGACCTCCAGGGACACTCTCTATGCTTTAAAAAGGTTCACAATATTTGGTGAACAGATGGTTAGGTCAATCATAGATTGGGGCTTCCCCGATTAAGGATCTCCATGCCGCTGGTGCTCAGGAAGCCAGCCAGAGAGCGTCCCCTGGGATTCTCGTCTCTGCAGCTCCATAGGCCGTGGTGCGAATTAGAGTCGCAGCCTATGAGCAAAGGGATCCCCGTGCTTTCACAGTACCTTGAGACTGCAATGACGTCCGGAGGAGGAGATTCGATATCGATAGGAAAGTAGGAAGAGCAGACTACAAGGTCCTCCCTGACTCCTTCTTTTCCCAGCGAAATTTTATTAACTGCCAGGTCCCTGGTGCAGAGATTAGGTAGGGGAAAACATTGCACGTTCCTTTTCAGGATGCAGGCGTGAGGATTCTCACAGGGTACGCAGCAATGTAGCGTGCTCCCCGCCAGGCCCAAGCCCCTCACCCCGCTCCGGAAAATCCAGGGTTCCTGGATCAGGGCAATGGAAATGTCAAGCTTGTTGAGCCTTTTGCACAGGACAGCGGAAGATGCTTTTCCGTGCTGTAAATTTGCCTGTAGAAATTTTATTGGCATGTGAAGATCATACTTCACAGGATCATTTGTGTAGTATATCTTCGCATACCTACTCTCTACTCAACTGTTCGGTGTATTCCGAGTATTCCAACTGTTCGGAGAACTCTAATTATTATTGGGAATACTCCAACCGTTTTGAGCATTCTGAATATTCCTGATTCTATGAAATTGCATCACTTCTTACTGCTCGATTATGCAATGTGAATAATAATTGTGCTCTGTAAGAGAATGAAGAGAAATCTCGATCTCATACAATGAATGTCGCAAGCTATAGATTGGTTTCGAACTACGAGTCAGTTCAGTTCATGATCCCACAATTGGATTTGTATACTTAGCGCTTGCATATTCCATATTCTGATAAGCTGATAATGTTCCATTTCCTTTGTGCAAGTATACTGTCTCGAAAATAGGAAAGCGTCAAAGATTTATCAAAAATCACGAAGTATACAGAGAAATTGAATTTGCAATGTGAAAATAGGAGAATACGCGAATTTGCCGTATTGTATTTATTCAGAACAAAAAGAAAACAAAAAATAATAATACAGACATGCATGGAGATGACATTTAACAGCCAGTAGTTTTAAATAAAGTCAACAATTTGCTTCGAGGGTGTGTTTTGCAGCGTACAAATTTGCAAATATTGTATTTTATTTTTACTTCATCAAGAAAAAAGGTCGAGCCTAAAAAATAAACGACTACGACTCGAAAAAATAATCGTAAAATCCTTAGTGAGGCCCTTAAAACCTTGGGTTATAAATTTGTATTTATAAGGGTTTATGGGCTAATTACGGACTCCTTAAAACAAATAATCGTCTTATAAAGTCGGCTCGAGATTCTTAATTTGTCTTTTGGAGGGACCACGGTAAAAAAATTTGATTTATATAACACGTACAAAAAAAATATAGTTCTCACCATAATGATAAAACCTTATTATAAATTCTTGTCCCAAAATGGCCATTAAGCAGGCGACCTGGTTTAAGCGCGAAACGCTATGCTTAGCCTCTATAATCCACAAAATTTTCATGTAGAGTCTAATTTACAGTTTTGTAAAAATTAAATATCAATTTAGTATAAATAATTTGTTGGAAGATTATCAAATTGAATAAATAAATTTAAAGCTAAAACATATTTGCAATTTGATTACCCAATTTCCGCAACAAAGATTGGATCGAGTATTTTATACATACTGACTACATAAAATCATTTCGAATTATTGTATTATAGAAATCAAATCGAAACAGTATTATTCTATATCAGTGTTTGTCCAGATTTGACACTCGTTTTTGAGCAAATCATAAAGAGATCGCCCATTATAATAATATAATTTAATTAAATAATCAAATTCAATTAATTTAGGCTTTTTTTAAGCCTTAAATCCATGTTTGGTTGGAAAGCGATAACAATAAATTATTATTATTATTGTTGCATTGGTACTTCTGTTTTGGAAGGCTGATTTTGCATTAGTTATTTGAAAATAAATTGTTAATAATGATTAAATTTAAAAAAAACTATAATAATTCATACCTGCCACTCTTGGGCCCCACATTGGACACATATGACGAACTTGCTGTAATAAAATCATCCAAAATTGTTCCAGATTCCATACCCAATGGATCGTTGCATTGTTCTGAAAAATAACATAAATTTTGCCATTAATGGAAATCACACCATATCATTAGCAAAATAAATTCAAACAATCGAATTAATGCAAATTAATGTACGAAATTCTAGTTCGAAATATGTGGGCCAAATAATAAACAATAATTATATTACGTTACCAACATTGCAGTTAGTTAATTTGGAACACAATAAACTATTCGACATAATAAACTAACATCTCCGGGCGCGTTCGAAATTATTTATTTACTTTCAGAAAATTTCAGTAGTTTTCAATTTGACTGTACCGTGAACATGTGGTTGTTCGTCATAACTTTTAATAATAGATATTAGAGTGACTGTTTCAAATAAAAACTGTTTAACTTTATCAACTGGCTTAGTACCTATTTATTTGAAATAGGTACGGGTAGCGGAAATACCATTAATTTCAGTTACATGCATAATGAATGGAGCAATTACATTTAAATCAATACGAAACATCAACTATCTAAAAATATGGCACACAGTTTATTACAAAGCCATTCATAATAAATGTCAACATGTTCGATTGCATCTGTACTAAATATTCTTCTGGATTCTCTGATAAATTGTAATTATTTACGTGTATAGGGGATTAAATATGATTTAATAACAGGGAAAATATTAATTTAAATTGTGGTTTACTATTCGATTATAAATGCTCAATATTTCGCATATTTTAAAGAATGTAGGTCATATTACATGTTGTTACTAGTTGTCTCCCAATTTTGACACACGATCGTGGGAACAGGAAAGGCTTACAAAATACAATGTTCTTCTATGCGACATTTCGTAAACTTATTGCTACTTTTCAGGTCATATTATTTTTGTCCGATGTTTTTTTCTATCAATATTAATTTTTTTTATCTACGCTACAAACCATGATTTTCTGAGCTTCTAAAGTCTCGTAGTGGGTAGATCCAAAACGACAATACATGTTTCAATTTACACCAGAAAAAAGTTTCGCTTCTTTTCCATACTATTCAAGTCCTAAAGAATTATATTGCATTAAGTCCCTATATTGCATATCTTTATATCCCTTTTATTTTCTCGTTGAATAAAAAAATTGCGGTTTTCAGCTGCGACACTATTTGTTGCCCTCCACGCTACAACGAAATAAATTTTATGGCTGGCTGTGTTATGTTGGTGTATTATATCTGTCGGGAATAGGAACAGTCCTGCTTTTCTCTATGAAATATGGTGACCACGTTTGAAAAATGTCTTTAATTTTTAATGCGTATAAACGTAATTGTGGGATTTATATTTGGTAGTTTCAAAAATTCATCAAACGAAACATTGTAGTATCAAAATGTTGTCACTTCTTTTGGGAATGTTTTCGTTCAAAATTATATGTGACAACCAAAAACAATTTCGCTTTGTGCGGGGTATAATAAAGACCAAAATTCAATTCGAAACGAGATCAAAATGCCATGTAACATCAAAATGGTAACGAGAAAAAAAGGAACGCTTGTGCGTTATGAAAAAATAGGTAAATATTTTATGAACGGCCTGAACGTGTTACTGAAAAACAAAGAGAATAAAATACTGTTAGGACTAACAGCAAAATTAATCCCGCAAAGAGATTAAGGGAATGGTAAAATTGAATGTATTTCTTTTTTCATTTCGGCTTTAAATCTCACAATAATGTACCTAGTAAATATATGGGGGGTCCTAAATGATCATTTAAATAAACGTTCTGTAGTCTTTAACAATAATTATGCTAAGGCTAGGTTGGAAAGTTCGAGACGCTATATCGTGTGCCATTACAACAATAGCGTGTCTAGCCTTAGGCAAATTTAATATGTGTGTGTTTGACTTTATAGCCTTTGATTAATAGGTAATACACCCTTGACTGGTAATTTTTCAATAAATTGCACGCAAGAGAAAATAAATATTTAATTCCCTACCCTATTTCAGCGAAAATCCATTCTAGTCACATCGATATATACGCTCTCGACTGCGCTAAATTTATATCTAAATACGAAGCTCCGATAAACGTCTAATCTTTTAAGTGAAACTACAAAACTTGAATTGATTGATTGGCTTCCTTTCGCTTCGCTTAATTCTGCAGTTGAATAGGATGAAAACAGGCTGATTTTAGGTTATTAATGAGCCATGTTGACTGTTAATTTTGATTGAGAAAACAAAAGAGGCTGGATGCATATCTTACTATTGTTTACAATTAAAATCTGCTTTTTACAACACTCATAATATGAAAGTGTATGATACACATTTTAACAGTACTCAGCTAACTTCAATTTTCAAGCAGTTTCTCTAGATTTTAATTCTTCTCTCACTCTACTTGAATATGCGGCTGGCAGCTTATGTGTTATTTATGAATGGCAGTAGGTGAAATTCAAATATTCAGGGGAAATTTATGAGAAATCCATACGCCAAAACGAGGACAAGGATGACATATTCTCAAATATAAAATGTCCCAGCTTTAATATCGGCAGAATATGCAGGGTAAATCGATATTTGATTGTGCTTATTTTTAATTGGATTCGAGTAAATTCAATTCCATTATAATGTGCTATTCTCTGAAGTATTCGGTGAATCACGTGCACCGGTTCTCATCACGTAATATGGCAAGGCCTGGAGCATATTAATTTAGGACAGAGCTATAAGGGCCGTATCAGTATCAGCCAGCGAGCCACACACGCTCGCAAACCAACCGAAATTCTAGAATCCGAGAGGAAATCTTATCCTTGGGCTCATTAGTTATCGCTCCTGTATAATCTCACCTAGGTTGAAGTCTAATTATTACTGCTGCTTCTTCTAGTGTGTCGAATAATGATATTATTGTCAGTGTTGCAGTGACGTGTTTACATTAAGAACTCTAAACTAAACTTTATGTAGACATTTTCAAAAAGAAATATATGAAACTTGTGAATGGCTGACTGGTTCTGAAATTAAAAGTCTCTCCTGTCCTGTACTTTCACCATCTTTCCCCACAGCATTGAAATTGAGTTATTTCAATTATTCTCATTAGTTTGAAACTACATGTTTCAGGTGAATGTCTTACTTGAACAGTTCAACAATATATTGGTGAATAGATTGCTGCGGAACTCGCTGCGCTCGTCTCGCAGAGATCCACCCATAAGTTCCGCAATAATCCACTTATTTGTACTTGAACAATAATTTATTATATAAAGTCAAAATTTGTAAGATTATGATTATTCACTTTTTGTCAATTCGCCTTTCAACAGGAATTAGTAATGTTACTTTATCAAACTAGTAACATAATGTGACAAGTTATTCAAGTACAAATGAGTGAATTGCTGCGGAACTTATCGGTGGACCTCTGCGGGACGAGCGCAGCGAGTTCCGCAGTCATCTATTCATTAATATGCTGTTTTATTACGATACTAACCTGACTCATTCGCTGCGCTCGTCCCGCAGCCATCTATTCATTAATATGTTATTTAATTACGATACTAACCTCACTCACTTAAATGTTTTTTATTTTTTTATTTATTTATTTTCAACGGATATACCATTTACATTTGAACAATAAATGTTTTTACAATAATTTCATATAAATCAATTTCATAGGTATAAACTTAACAAAAACTATTTGAATTTTATTTTAACAATAAACTTAAATTCTATTTTTTAGAAACTCATTTACTGTTCTATTGAACTGTAAGTAAAAAAGTGGCATTTTGTATGCATTGACACAAATCATTGGTGAATAGATTGAATAGCAATGGTGATAGATGTCCACACAGAGGCACCCCTGAACAAGCCTTTATGGAAAAAGACAGACAATTATTAATAGATACAATTTGAAATCTTTCAGATACATAACTTTCTAACCATTTAAGAAAAGATCCAAATAGTCCATACAGTGACAACTTGTGTAAAAGAATTTTATGATCAACCTTGTCAAAGGCCTTGGAGAAATCCGTGTAGATTGCATCAACCTGACTGAGACCCTCCAAGGCCCTTGACAAGTATTCAGTATACTCCAGCAAGTTACTTATAGTGGATCTTCCACTAAATAAACCATGCTGACTTTGATTAATGTGTGGTTCTAGCAGAGGAGTAATTTTATCAGTTACAATCTGCTCAACTATCTTACTGAACAAACATACTTTTGAAATTGCACGATAGTTTTTAACTTCACTTCTTGCCCCACTTTAAAACAATTGGTGTAACAAAACTTGTCTTCCATTTCTTAGGAAAGATTCCAGAGCCCAACGATTTAGAATACATTTTATGCAAGATTGGTGCAAGAATAAATCGACAGTTAAATATAAAATCTCGTAGTATACCATCCGGACCTTTCCCTAACGTTTTTTTTAAACCTTCAATAGCAAGAAACACATCCATCATCTCAATGTCCAAGCAACCCAAACTGAGATCAGACTGAATATCAGGATGTTGATAAATATTTTTATTTAAATTATCAATAGGTGTATAAACCTGCCCAAAAAATGTGGCAAACAAATTAGCAATTTCTTGAGTGGTAGATGCTTGAGAGTCACCGAAACTCATACTATTCGGCAAGGAATTTGTGTTATTTTTATTCTTAGCAAATTTCCAGAATTCATTTGGGTTACTTTGGATTGTACACTCAATATTTTTCAAGTAATCAGATCTGGATTGATTGTAGAGATTTTTGCATTCCCTACGAATACTAGAAAACTTATTGTAATCATCAATAGAACCACTAATCCTAAAATCTCTATGCAATCTTTTCTTAAAAACTATCAAATCCCTGAGTTCCCTAGACATCCGACTCGGAAAGTTAGACTTTTTAGCCCTGTGTAGTGGTACAAACTTGTCTATTGCCTGTTGCAATTTACTGTAGAATAAATCAACCATAGTATCAGTATCGACACCAGTTAATTCATCCCAATCACAACCAGCCAAGAATAAATTAATGGAATTATAATCAGCCTATTTGAAATTATAAATAGTAATAATCAAATGAAAGAACAGACATATCAGACTCAATGTTCAAGTTAATTTCTAAGGCTGGATGCT